TCCATGTATCACACAAGATTCTTCTTGCCTTCAGTTGTAGCAGGATTGCATCCAAACTTTGAGAGACCTGAAGTTTATAGAATCTCTTCTAAGGTTACACATGCAAAATTGCTAGGCTCCCATTTCAAGGTGTCCAGAAGCTTAAACATGTGAATTGGTGAATCTTAGACTGAGACTATACTTTTTTTTGGCCCTGATTTTCAAATCAGAAGCACAAAGTTGAGTTCAGGGTCACCATGAAGTCAAAGATGTTTGTCCATTCAACGTGTGTATACACCAGCGACTAGTGCAGTAGTAACGAGAGTCCTTGAATGGCACAAGAACATGGCTACCAGAAGGGTTGGCAGTCTGAGTTTTGCCAGAGGCACTAGGGAAGAAAGCCAGGCAATCTGCCCCCCAAAGGTCAGTCACCAGACTCGGATGGAGCACAGCTCTGTTCTCTAACACCAGCAGTGGCCACGAGTTGGGGTGGACTCTGTGGTGACTGGTTTTGGTGACCATGTCAGGAGAAGAGATCAGTCCCTAGAAAAGGCCATCATTGTCTGATAAAGTAGAAGGTCAGCAAAAACAATGGAAACCTTCAGTGAGCTGACCTGACACAATAGCAACAACAATCGGTTAAAACGTACCAAAGATCAGGAAGATGGCACAGAACTGGGCAAACTTTAGCTCTATTGTTACACAAATGGCCATGAGTTGGCATGGACCCTGCAGCATACTCACACGACGACGACGATGATGACAACAGAAGAAATGAGTCAAAGGTATGGTCCTCTTAGAGCTCTAAAATGTCGTCCCTGTAGGCCACCACGTTTTCTGGAGTCAGCTTTCTGTTCACTTTGGTTTTCAATTGAATACAAAATGGTTACTGATTCTATCTGTTTATCTTATAACCTTAATACGAAGCTATCTTTACTTCTGAATTTAGTCCTTCAAACATTTTCAAAAGTATTCCAAAAATATTCCAAACACACTTTTGAACTTGTTTTAAAACATTTTTAACTGTCATCCAATATAAAATTTAAATTTTGGTTATGTTATGTGCTACCATCACTAATGATGGCAGTAATTACTTTCCAATTTCAAGTTTTCTTTTTTTTTTTAAAATTTTTTTCTTTTTTTTTCAAGTTTTCTATCTATTGCATGACTAATAGCTGCTATCAGAACAGCCAAATTTTGAAAGCCTTTATTTTGAACTAGGGTTTAAAATCTAAAAGAATGGACTTCTTTTTATATTCCTGATTCTTAAGGCCGATTTTTATGATTTCACTTAGAAAAATACACCTAATATGAAAATTTTAATTCAACTCAAGAATCATTTTATAACAGAACACCAACATTTCCTGGATAGGTGAAGTCTTTTAAATTACATTTTTATTTTGCAAGAAAATAAATTATACAACTTAAAAAATAAAATCCAAAAAATTAAGCAGTTCATCAAAATATTTCAGCCTACTGCATACAGAAACTGCTACCATTTGAAATTGTCCAGTATTATCATCTCAGTATGTAGCGGGGCACACATTCAAAATCGTATATAGCATACGCAGATTACAACTTAGGAACTCAAATTTGTTCAACACTCCAGACGACATATAGTGTAGATGACAGAAAAGCTTTCATGTAATGTTTATTTCACAAACATGACCCTGGAAGAATTAGTAAGATCGCATCCCAGTCATTTACATGAAAATAGAAAAACCAGCTTGAGGCTAAGATAGCAAAACTTTCTGTAAAACTAGTAAATCTTCCACCCAAGTTGAATTTGCAAAACGTGCCCTTTTAGCAGGGCTAGTGACATCCTACTGCAAATAATGCAAAATACTTCTGTAACAACTCAAGTCACATTTTGTACTAATATAAGAAACAATAAAAATCATTAAGCTAACATCTCATTTTGGAAAACTTAACCTTTATGCTCACAGTAAGAGCAAGAGATCTAACAAACAGGTTTACAGAACTCAAGGACCTCTCTGACGGATGTAAAAATTGGAAGACTTCAAAATTGATTTCAAGATTCTCAAAATCATTGGAATAGTGATGTGTCAAAATCTATCTCACTGCAAGCATTAAAACTGTTCTACGTATTTTTACTTCATAGATGTCTCGTTTCTACTTACTCTGGCAATGGGATGATAACAGACGCCAGCCTTTTCCAGATGACACATCTTTAAATCGGGGCTGAGAGAGTCCCGAGTTTCCTCTCCAAGTGTCCTGTTGCCACACTACTACGGGGCCGGCCGGGGGAATGGGACAGGAGGGGCAGTTTTTGGTTTGGATTCTTTACCCTTCCCTGTCAGCATTCATCCCTGCTCAGCTAGCGCTAAGTTGACATGTAATTTGGAGGAAGGGATGAATAATAATAATGTGATTCTGTGTTTTAGCAAATTGCTGGTGTGATTGTTTTTCAGATTACTGTTTTAAATGAACATATCTGTCGTCAAAACACATGTAAAGAAAATTCAATAATGGTATAGGCACCTTGTCAACTAAGAAGTTTTCAAAAACATCAAAAATTTGTTAAATTGCCATATACACAATGAAAAGATGATGCAGAGTGTAGTTCTACAGTATTTACTGTTGTTTAGATGCAGAAAATATGAGGGGGCTTCAAAAAGTTCCTGGGAAAATGGAATTAAATGATAAAGGAATTTTTCCAAACATTTTGAAGCCCTCTCATACAATTAGGACATAATTAGCTATTAAACAATTTATAAAATTCAATAGAAAACTTTGCCATGGATTTAGAATTACCCACTTTTACAATAAATTTGTCTTTATGAATCAAAACATCGTGGCTCTCCTTCTTCGATTAAATGACCAAAAAGATTAGTAATTCCAAAAAAGTGCTGAGAACAAGTATGGTTTAAAATAACAAACCTTTAAAGTTAAAAAAAAATGTCTTGTAGTTTTACCCAATTCTTTCTTCTGTTGGCATTTTGTGTTGTGGCGATTATGCCAATACCCCAGTACTCATTACACATTAGGTTTATTATCAGTCATTAGAAAATTATTTTCTCTAAATTTGAACTGTATCCATCGTTAGCAGTCATTTCATTAAAGAACACAATGAGCACTAATCTTTGTTTCATTTGGAATAGTACACTTGATCTAATAATTGACATATGCTGCCTTAGGGGTAAAGTACCACCGTTTCAGTTATAAACAAAATTCCAATTTCCGATGAGTTTCAGAACAGGCATTGGGATGAGAGCCAACAAAGCCTTCAATGTTTCAGTTGCTTTTCTTTCTCTCAGCAAGCGGCTCACACAGCATTCTGGGATTGGGAACAGATTTCAGTTCCATGAGAGCACTCTGCTAAGTAAAAATAGTGTATGCCTGTCAGCGCTCCATGTTTTACTATCTTCAAAACTGAACGTTTTAATTATTACTTAATATCAATTAAGATATAAAATAATTTGTAAGAAGGTTTGAAACATGCACCACAGTGAGTACAAATCCATGTCGAGCCATTCTTTCCCAAGGGGAAGACAGGGTTTCTCTTTTAAATGCT